ATAGGCTTTGATAAAGCCCTTACATGGTCATAGAAAAGATCTTCAGTATCTTCTCCCCCACTACAGCAAGCACCCAAGTTTTAAAGAGAGTAGCTACAGTAGAAAGCAGCAGGGGCAGCTTTTTGTACCAAGAAGTAGCAAGGAAGTTTTCTCCTAACTTTCAATAATTAGAACTGGTTAATGCCCCTAAGATTGAGGGTGCTTGCTCTCTTCAGTATCTGTTACTCATTTTGATTAAGCATTATCCATATGCTCTCTAATGCTTTCTTTTCAGTCCTTGGTTCCAATGAGAGTTACGGGAATGAGTTACATCAGCTTAGCAGAGCAAAGCATAGAAAAGCTTTGACTTTGTCACTTTCAACTTCAATTTCAATTTTTCAAGCAAAACAATTTCACAATATTTTATCTCACAATTAAAAGGCGAGTAGAAGGTTTCACTACGCTATACCAGAGTATATTTTTAAGTTCCTCTACATGCTTTTTCTCCCTTCTCATTAAATAAACAGCCTGAGTCTTTTCAGTCTCCCTCCATGAGAGCTTTTCCACTCCCTTCATCCTTTCTTCTCGCTCCTCTCCGAGTCGTTCCCCCTGGGCCTTTTCACTGAGCTGCAGATATCCAACTGCAGGCAGCGTGCCGTTCAGTGAATTCCCCAGCTTGGTGAGGTGCCTCTCAAGTTTCTCACAGCTTTCATGAACTTTGCCCAAGTTTACCACCCCATGTCATTTACGGGATTTGTCATTGTGTTCCTCACCCTCTTTCCAAATGTCTAGTAAGGACACAGGTCCTACTCCAGGACCTTTTGCTTGTCACTTCAAATATTGTCATTGCTTTCATTTACATTGTGGCAACTTCTACCCTCTAAAACAGAGTCCTGCTGCCCCCAGCTCCCACGGAGTGCCTCCTCAAGAGCAGAAACCACTTACGCAGGTGGCTTTGAGCCTTCTGTACCCAGCCAGAGCTACACAGAGCCGGCAGGAATCATCCTGTTCCCTTTGCTTTCCAGATGATGGAGCAGAATAAAAGACCGACACTTCTCTGTCAAGAATAACGTTTGCTTGCTTTTCATTTAAATAAAAACTATGGTGATTACAGCTCAACTCTCTATTAGTTGGAGAAGTTCAGAGCACTTTTATTATTATTTGTTCTATTATCAGACACTACAATTTGGTTTGCCGTTTATCTCCTCCTCCTTATCACTTTGGGTGTTGGGGTTTTTTTAACTTGTACCACACTCTGGTTTCTTTCCCCAACCAGCTGCACCTTTACTAAGGAAGCCAAGAGGACATGTCAAGCTTTTGATAGCTCTTGAAGCAAGCTGACCCAAACAAACAAGGGCTCAGGGTTTCTGGTCTGAATTTACACAGCAACGAAGCAAATGTCTGGTAAAATGATTTACGGCATTAATCTTCCTCACATACAAAATGAGCTTAAATGGGCTTAGCTTAATCTTCAACGAGCATTTGCATCATGTCATGGAGAAGGTACAACTTATTACCTAAAAGCAGGAACAGAGAACGTTTTTGAGCAAGAAGCTCAAAACCTGCTTACACTGCAGATGAAAATTGGTCAGCTCACAATGGAAATATCTTGGGTCCAAGTCAGTAATTACAAGACCAGTCATCAGCGCTAAGGACATACCATATTCTTTTTGCCTTGGACATAAATATATTTCAACTGAGAAGAGTCATAGAAAAATGAGAAAAGTCTGGACTTCAGCACTTCCTAGATCAGACAATTACAGACAGCTCTACTTTGGACCACAACGTATTGAGACTCCCAGGTTTTTCCCTGGGCAACAACTGGCCTTTTGCTCAGGGAAGTTCCCTATCAGTTCTCTGAGAGCAAAGTTCTCTCAGCCTTTTTCACACCTGTTAAAAAAAAAAATGCTAAAAAGACAAAACTGAACAGAAAACAGGGAAATATTTGAAAGATAACTAAAAAGTATTAATGAAGCATTTACAGTGCTCAGAAATGTACCTGAAATGTGCCTGCATTGGCAAAGCTGACAACACATGGAGGACCAGAGTCTCACCGCTCCCAGACACCCAGCAGTAGAATTAGGTTCTTTTCTAGCTAAGACATCTTTACCAGATCTGCTTTCACACAACACCCTGTCAGACAGGAAAGAGCAACTACCTCCACTTCACAGGGGAACCGAAGGCGTGGAAAGTTTGTTGTAACATAAGCCAAATGCCTTAGACCTTAGGATGCTGCCTGATTGTTTAACCATTCCTCCCTCAGGGGAAGGAAACTGGGTCCCTTTGGTCTTCCGATACTTACTCTATTAGTTGTCCTTGTTCAAATTACAGCCAGCTACAGAGGTCATGAGCTACTTGTTCATACTCCTGAAAATTTTTATTTTCAGAGCAGAAAACAGATAGACGGGGCCAAGAAGAGGGATGAGCTCAGGGTAGCATAAGCACTCACTTACCCACAAAAGAGGATGTTCCCTCCTTCCTCAGAAGAAGTGAGAATTAAGGAAAGGGTTTTTGGATAGATGTCAAAACTTGTTTTCTCATTACAATTTCCTTAGAAACAAGATTTTTAGGATAGTAAAGAGTTTTAGATATTTGAAGAGTTTCATGATAAAAGATTAGTACGAAAGCTACTAATAATTATTTTTATTTCTGACCGTGATGAAATGGGGTGATTGTTATTAATCTAGACATTACCTTCCAGAAATTACTTCTGCCTTTGCTTGTCTTCTAAGTCTACAGCTTTGAGTGACAGACAACCACTTTTAATAGTAATCTACAGAATTTCTAGAAGCCTTACAGAAATGGCACACGCATACAATGAGTAGTGTATGCACAGGGAAGCCAGTGTCCAACTGCCATAACACACAGTGCGTGCAATACAGTCAGTCTTTGCTTAAGATGCCTCTTAAGATGCTTAAGATGCAATGCCTCTTTGCCCGTCTGAGGCATTCTGGATGCCCCCAGCTTTACTGTGCCTGCAGAAATAACAGCACAACACACGAAAGCAAATCAACCGGTACAAGCGCAGCAAATCTGATGTGCACAGCGTGTGCAACAGGCTGAAGACACATGTTGTAACCTGACTCACTGGCTCTTTGCAGGCTACTTGGGCAACTTTTTGTACCAAATCAGAAGGCATATGGTTTTAATATAAACCTTCGCCCAAACTCCAACCTGGCCACTTGAGTTTCTTTTTCAGAAACATTCAGAAGAAACATTCAGAAAAGAAACAACCAGCAAAACATAAGCTGAGCAAGGCACGGAGACTTCCCAGCCAGACTCCCCTGTGTACTAGCCACATCTGCTTGTGACTATGGTAACAAAAAAGGAAATAATTTACCTTATAGGACAATTGCCACCATGAATTTTTCTTTACTCAGCAAAATAAAACGTTACCTCAAGAGAAGTGGTAATAAATGATATTTTGGATTACATTCTTGTCTATTTTTCTAACTTTAAACACTGATGAATGACATACTTGTCCCTTTTGTTCTCCTATTTCTCATCCTGTCCTCTCCCCCTCTTTTTAAAAGTCTTAAAAGACAGTTCAGTGGTTGCACTTATGCTTGGAAATTATGAATAAGTTTAGAAAGAAACCATTTGTTTTACTTGATAATCCAATTTTTCTAAAGACTGATTGGTTGGAAGTATTTTGTACCATTTGTAAGATTCAACATTTATTCCAGAATTCTTATTTTATTATAGTTGCTGGCAATGATCTTGTCAAAAAGCAAAGCTGTTATTGGCGTCATCCCTAAGAAAGCCATTTTAAGATTCAACAATTATTCCAGAATTCTTATTTTATTATAGTTGCTGGCAATGATCTTGTCAAAAAGCAAAGCTGTTGGCGTCATCCCTAAGAAAGCCATTTTAAGAAATGTAAATTAATTTCTCGCTGTAACAAAGAACTTTAAAACTTAGCCATTTTAAGAAATGTAAATCTATTTCTCGCTTGTAACAAAGACTTTAAAACTTGAAGAGGACTTTTACTCTTCAAGATAAATGGCTTTACAAAGAAACTGAATGGCTCCAACTGTCACATGTATCTTACAGCAGGAGAGAAACTATTTTATTACTCATTATTTGAGATTCCCATCTAAGTATGGTCACAGATAGCAACACAGTGAGCTGTTCTGGACTTCACAGTTGTAAAGCCAGAAAAACTACCTTAAAAGCTGTTTCTCCATTTACAGTCATTGCTAACATATTTCTAAATAGTTCACTAAAAATTTGGTGGAAAAAAAAATATGCAAACTATACCATAAAGCTCCTCTGGAAATGCTGCTCCCATATAGACCTATTAGCTTTGATGGGTAATCTCTGGAGAATCTCACACCAGCAACTAAGCACCTTTGCTGCAGCTGTCTGTCATAACGCTGCCAAAGCAGGCAAGGCAGAAGGGAATATATGCCTACACCTCTGTCACAGTTTACTGCCCAGCATCTTCATTTAAACATGACTGCATTAGCGGTGTGAGCACAGGTCCAAGGTTCCCTCTGGAAGAAATCTCCCCTTTGCCCAGTTCTCGTCCAGGAGTCACCAACATCTGGCACATCCTGTGGAGGTACCATCTCGAGATGGTATAACAGCTGCTACAAGACTCACTAGCAGACTTTCATCAGAGCTCTTAGGTTTTCACATACTGCTCATCCACACATTATAACATTTATTTCCACAGGCTGAAGAAACCTGTCTAACCTGAAGCCAGAGGAGTGCTTAGTGCTGTAAGAAATCCAACAGGGAGTCTCAAAAGAGCCTTACCTCGAGATGGCCCTTTCACACCAGATTGAAAGTTGCCGAGTGCCCTGTTTCCAGGGAGGAGGCTTTCCCAAAAGCAGACCATCCAGACAGCAGCCATGCAAAAGTTTTCTGGAAAACTTTCACAAGATGAATAGGGTGAGGAGGGACCTCTTGGCAATAAAACGGGTCGAGTTACAGTCCAGGGGACTGCAGAGATTCTCAGAGGCGTTGGCTGGTTTGGAGGGCTCCCTAAATTGCCCACTAATATCTACCTGACCTACCTTTTCCCCTTCTGTAATGATCGTCTGCAGGTGCATCAGTCAGTGTCTTCACAACTTCTATCGCAATGAGTTCATAATCTTGGACACAGATGGTGTGACACAAACAGCATCACAGTAGGCAGGTAGATGGCTGAACTTTAATGTAGTTGATGAATAACTGCTTGGCTTCTTCCTCCTTTCCTCTGCTCCTGCTTTCCTCTTCAGTTCCTCAGAGCTTGGGTTCTCCTTGAAAACAAAGTGGAGCACTCCGGTAAGTAGATTCATTGTGTCCCCCCATTTCTTGTCTGCTGCCAGAACTAGCAAATCTTGAAAAGAGGAATTCTTTGTGGAAAGGAAACAAAGCAGTGGGCAGACAGTGCAGAAAGACTTCTAAGGTTATAGTAATGAGGAAGAAGATGTGAATGCAGAAATATGATCCACGTAAAGCATAGTTTTTGTGAGGGTGATCATGATACAGTTAATTACATTTTCTTCTCTGTGTTTCTACACTTTGTTACCATTCTTAATCCATGAGAAGCATCAGTGATTATAAGCAACTACATGAGGGCATAAGTTTTGCATCATAGTTAAAGCAAAAAATACATGCATTTTCTTGTTTCGCAACCATGTTTTTCATTGTATAGCTCCGAGAAGGTAAGAATCAAATTACTACTTCTGCTCGTGGAAATTATTACATTACCTCCTGAAGGTAATTCTAGGCTGTTCCAGCAAAGCAACCTCTAGATGGCACATATGAGAATATTAGAACAGCTATCAGAAAAGAAAAGCAAGCTTGTTTAAATAAAAATCTCTTCAAGTGTTTAGAGGTATATTGTGAACACACAGTTACAAGCTGCAGTTGTATTATCAATACGTGCTAAAAACCACATCATTCTTGGTCGTGTTCTAAGTCAATGACTTCTGTTTACAGAAACATTTTTGTATCTTCCTGAATTAAATTGTAATATTTGATCAGAGAAAAAGTGACTAAACAAAACAGAAAACAAGATGCCATAAAGATTATTTCATTTTATGGCTAGATGGATAATTATAGATAAGGCTACATAAATTACCTCTATCCTGAGTTCCTATTTTCAGTCATTTATTCAAATTATCAATAATTACTACATTTAGCAACTAAACCACTCAAATAATTTCCACTTAGAGTGACTAAAATCCCAATGTTTTCTGCTATGAGAAAAACATTTTCTTTAAGCATATGCTTTGCATCATTTTTGAAACACCCATACAGCCAAAAAGTCTAGAGCCAAAAAACTTTTGAACATTTGAACAGGAAACATTTTGACATTTGAACCAGGAAAAGCCCTTACGGAAATTAAACTCCCCATGTTGCACTTTGTGAAAGAGGCAATGAAGAGTAAGGCATAAAACCCACGACATCAGTTCTCTTATCGAGGGAAACTCATGTCAAGCTGGCAAAGATTTGAGCAAACGGAAGGCTTCTTTACCCTCTATAGGTCAAAACCACAAGCAAAATCTGCCCAGAAAGGGGGGGAACAGTGTTAAACTTGCTACAGCCATGGCCCATGCAACTGCTACTTGGATGAGAGTAATATGTCTTTCAGAGGTTAACCTCTAAACCTGGATGTTTTCATTACTGGATACTTTGGTTCCGCAGCTGATTTCCACGTGGTATAAAGTGTCTAGAGTAAAAACCTTGGCACGACAAGCCTTTCACCATTACAAAGAAAAACTACTAAAACTTTTTCGTATTAAAAACACCAACAGGAAGAAATAGTGCACAGGCAGATTCATTTTCAGAAAGCCAAAGACTAGATATGTTCACCTGAGGGCACAGAAAGATGAGAGAAAGATAAAACAAAATGGATTTACCATAGATGCCAAAAGCCCTTGATGAAAGATACAGCACATACAAATTATCAGAATAATTAGAACTGTGTAAATGCCAAAGAGCCTTTTCAGCAATGACTTGTTAGATCAGAGCAGAAAATTTGTTTCAGATGAGTTCGCGTCTGCTCTTCTTGAACATCCAAGCAACCAAACTTCATTCCAAGTGTGCTCCTGGAAAGCAAGTTTTATAAACACGTGCTCAACTATTTGCACAACTTGTGTGACTACTCATCTTATCAGGGAAAATATCTCATCCTCCTCAGGGATGAGATATTGTTGCAGAGGCAGGACTGAAGTCTTCAAGCACTTCGAGTAGAGACAAAGACTGAAATTCTGTGCTGCATCGCAGGGGTAGAGAAGAAAGGCATGGGCAGGGGGAGGACTGACTCTGCTTTAAATCTCATTAATTCATAGGCTGCCTCAGGTCCTCAAGGATAAGTAAGTTGTGGTGATTTCTCTACACTTGTTATGGGCCATAAAATTCTACACCATCTCTGTATCTCCCTTATATGGGCTATATGTTTTACTAGAAGCTGCACTTGCCATTGAAAGACTGGTACCAAGGGAGGATGCTGGAAGTCAGAGGGTACTAATCAGACACACACCATAAACCACAATTTGAACAAATACTGTCTTGCACTGTCAAATCATAATATATACATGAAAACTACCTTTAAAATAATCTTACAAACCTACCTAAATAATGGATTTTCTCAGGGTCTTTATGCTTCATTGGTAGGTATTCTATAAGAAAAAAAATGCAGGAAAGTGTTGTAATATAGATAAATGTTGACTGGAAATATGACAGGGTCCTCCAGCATGATTTACTGGTAATTCAGATTATAAATCTGAACTTCAAGGGCAGAAAGCTAGTGTAATAATTCAATCACCACTTAGCAGTGCTCACTTCCAATTAAACCCAATATAATGAAACTTACTCAACAAATGACTTTATTTCAAGAATTAGAGTTGAAGTTCTCAAATTCGTCTCACATTCCAAAAATCACAGTGACCAGGTCCTGAATTTAGGTTTTTGTTCCTACTATCTCCTATCATGCTTTGCTCCAGTTCCCGGTTCTTTCCGCAGCCTAGAAAAAGCAAATTTCAACCTACTGACAATAGACTTACTTCCCATGATTAACTTTACAAACTTTTAAGTAGTTCAGTTTCCAGGCATCCACAGGTTGAAAATCTTCTATTTTAAACACATCAGCCTTATTGACAAGCCTCTCTCGCTCCTTTTGCCTTCCCTTAGGTGAAAAAAAGACAATGAGAAAAATGGTAGAAGGTTGAATAAAGTCAAGACTTTTCTGCCCTTTTCCCTATATTCTTTGCCCCTTTTTTTTAAGACTAAATTAATAAAGAACTAAAAAAAAAAAAAAAAAATCAATGAGCCTCAGGAATTAAGGTGGAAACAGGTTCTTTCAGAGTCATTCTCCCTTGTACTTTACCATTAATGTTCCTTTAAGTATAATTACTCTCCTTTGAAAGTCTTTGCCTTCTTTTCTGCTGCATCCCATCTCAGATTTTAATTTTGTCGTGGTGCTGTGTGAGACTTATTCCTTCCCCACTAGTGTTTTCTATTTTAAAAAACCAAATTATGCTATAATTTTTATTCATTTCATGTTGCCTCTTTACTTCTTTTTACTACCTTTAGTTTTCTTTATTTCATCTCTCTCATTCTTCTTCCTTTAACTATATGGTTTATATTCAAGTGTTTGCTTTCAAACTGTAACTAATATCATTGAAGGCCTATATCATGTTTACATTGATCCTTTGATTCCTAATAAAAGTAAATTTTTAAAAACGTAGATACAAATGTATCTTCTGGCTGTTTCATCGCTGCTAGTTTTTGCAATTTGTTGTAAAACATACCTAGAGGCCTTGAGTTGATGTCTTTGGGGGAAAGGAAGGACAAAGAAATTATAAATCTGAGAACATGACATTAGGTGTATTGTATTTTAAATATTGTGTGATGTTCAAATACTGCCATAACATGGTCCCTACAAAAAGCTAGCAATCAGATAGTTCATGATGATATTGTGATGATAGCCAAATAGCATGAGATTAATTTTTCAGCATGTCTGAAAGGTTTTTTTTATTACCATTGTATTATTTTATTCTTTAACTAATAACTTGCATGCCTACTGCATTTCTAGAAGAAGCAGTGAAAATGAAAGCTGCTGGTAAGTCTCCATGAAACGAACCCCCACCAGTGTAAAACCGGTACGTGTTCGTAGTCCCCACAGAGGTGAATCTGCAGGATGCACATAAGCTCTGCAGAGCTGCCTCCAGCCATCTGCACCATCTTGCCTGCGACCCAGACATTTGAAAGCATGACGTGCTACTACAGAGAATACCTGGACATTTTCCCTCCCTTCACAATGACCTAGACCCCTGCATTAACTCCCCACTTGAGTTTTTACCTCTTTGCCTTCCCTGCCCTTGCGCTACCCTTCTGTTGCTTTCAGCTTAATAGAACATACTCGACACCCATTTCACATCAGTCTTTTGTACAAACGGTCTTAACCCCTCTCCTTTTCTAGGAAATGCTTCAAAGCCACAAGGCTACACACCTCCTTCTGAATTCTCTGCCTGTCCGAATGAATAAGGTAATTTTAAGAGGTGGGGTGCACTGCACCTCTTCTTCCTTTTCTTTCACCTTCTCTTCTCTTCTGAAATCACACGAAAGAAGTGATACCCCCATGATGGTATGGGAGTATGTCTTTGAACCCCCATGGACAGGCAAGATTAGAATCCCACATCTCTCAAATCTCAGCCGAATGCTTTATTCAAGGATGAAATGTTCAGTCGTTACATCAGACCTTTTCTCCCCGCGTGCCTGTCTGCAAGTCTGTAAGTATAAACATTACCATTATATCGTATGAGCAAACTACAGTATGCATTCTGACTCCTGAAAAGATCGACTCCTTACTACAATCAAGTGATTGGAATGGATTTAACTGAAGAGAAAAGCACGGCAATAGCTTTGAGGTATCAAAGCGACAAAGTAAGATCGGAAGTTTTCACGATTATCAGCTCTTCATTTTTGCCTGTATACTTCATGTGTGTATTTTATTTCCTTTTCCAAGTACTGAAGCCAACAAGGGAGGTGGACTGGAACGCTGATGAGGACAGGAGAGATGTGAAAAGGGGGAAAGAAGAAGGGAGAAAAGGGAGGAGGGGGTGGAAAGGTGATAAGGGGAAAGAGAGGGGAAGGAAGCGAAAAGAAAGGAAGAGACGTGAAAAGAAAGAAAAGTAGTGAAAAATGTGAGAAGAAGTTACAGACATTAAAAATAGTGAAAAGTGGTGAAAAGAAAAAATGTGAAAGAAAAGAAATGAAAAGATACAGAAGTCGAAGTGAGAAAGTGAGACATGAAAGAAGAGAATGAAAAAACCCTGAAAGATGCAAACATTTGAAAAGAGAAGTGAAAGCAAAGAAAAGACATGAAAAGAAAAAGAAGTGATAAGGAGTGAAAGAAGAAAGAACTGCCAAAGGAAAAGTGAAAAAAGAAGAAAAATGAAAAAAAATAGAACTGAAGAGGAAAAAAGAGAAACAAAAATTGAAAGAAGCAAAGCAAGAAAGGCGTGAGGAGAAGTCAAAGCAGTGACAAAAAGAAAAGAGGGGAGGGGAGGGAAGAAGGGGAAAGGGAAGAAGGGGAAAAGGAAAAGAAAAGGAAAGAAGGGAGGAAAAGGAATAGACCTGAAAGGCAGTGAAAAGAAATCAAAGCAGTGTGTATCTTGAACAAGTGTCGAAAAGGTGAGGAAAGCAGCAAAAAGGCTGGGAGAAGTGGGGAGCAGAAGGGAAGGGAAAAGCAGGAAAGGAAAAGAAGGGGTGAAAGAAGTCAAGGAACAGTGAAAAGAAGTCAAAGCCATGAAAAGCAGGGGAGAGCAGGAAGACGCATGGAAAGGAAAATCGGGGGAAAAGACAAGATGCGAGAACTGACCACTTGAAGTCAAAGCAGGGAAAAGCAGTGAAAAGCGGGGAGGGAAAGGGGAAGCGGAAGGAGGAGGGAGATGGAGAAAGACTAGGAAGGAGGAGGAAGGGGAACAGGGGAAGAGGGAAAGAAGAAAACCAGGGAAGAGAAAAGAAGGGGGGGTGGGGGGGACATAAAAGACCTGAAAAGCAGTGATAAGACGCCAAAGCGGGGCAAAAGAGAGCAAGGAAAGGGAAAAGAAGGGTAGGAAAAGGGAGGAGGGGAAGACCAGAAAAGCAGCAAAGCAGTGAACAGCAGCAAAAAGCATTCAAAATAGTGTAAAGCATGTAAGAAGAAAAAGCAGTCAAAGCAGGGAAAAACAGAGAAAATAAGTGAGGTGGGGGAAAAAACCTCACAAGACATGAAAAGCAAGGACAAGCAGCCGAAGCAGTGACAAGCAGGGAAAACCAGAGACCAGAAAAGCAGCTCAAAGGAGTTAAAGCAGTGAAAAACAGGAAAGGGAAAAGCAGAGAAGGGAGGGGGAAAAGAAAACAAAACAAAAACGACCTGAAAAGTGAAAAAAGCAAAAGCAGGAAAAAGCAGCCAAAGGCAGCCAAAAGCAGGGAAAAACAGGGAAAGGGCAAGCAGGGAAGGGAAGCACAGAAATAACACTGTGAAAAGCAGTGGAAAGAAGTCAAAGCAGTAACAAGTAATGAAAAGAAAGGAAAAGACCACAAGAAGTTGCGCAGCGGAACAACCTGAAAAGCAGTGGAAAGAAGTCAAAGCAGTAACAAGTAATGAAAAGAAAGGAAAAGACCAGACAAGAAGTTGAAAAAAAAAAAAGTCAAAACAGTGAAGAGGTTGGAAAAGCAGGGGAAAGAAGAGGAGGGAAAACAGGGGAAAGGAAGAAAAAACCCCAACAAACCAACAAACTGAAAAGCAGTGGAAAGCAGGGAAAAAAGGGAAAAAAGCAGGGGGAAGACCAGAAAAGCAGTGAAAGGAAGACAAAGCAGCGATAAACAGGGTAAAGAAGGGGAGGGGGAGACCTGAAAAGCAATGAAAAGAAATCAAAGTGGTTACCAGCAGAGAAAAAAGTCAAAAGTAGTGAACAGCGGGGAACAGGAAGGCAAAAGGCGGGGGGTGGCGGGGTGGGAGGCAGGAAAAGTCCTGAAAAGCAGCCACGAGAAGTCAAAGCACTGAAAAGCAGTGAAAAGGTGTCAAAGCGCTGACAAGCAGCAAAACCAAGTCAAAGCAGTGACAAGCAGGGAAAGAAGGGAAGAGAAGGAAAAAGACCTGAAAAGCATGCAAGTCAAGGCAGCGTAAAGCTGGGAGAAGAGGAAAAAGTAAAACAGGGAAGAGAAGTCAAAACATGAAAAAGCGGGGAAAAGAAGTCAAGGCAGTGAAAAGCAGGGAAGAGACGGAAAAAGCTGGGAAAAGAGTCAAAGCAATGAAAAGCAGGGAAAAGAAGGAGCAGGGAGGGAATAAAAGACCAGAAGAGCAGGGAATAAGTTGTCAAAGCAGTGACTAGCAGGGAAAGGAAGGGAAAAGAAGTTAAAAGATCTGAAAGGCAGTGAAAATAGCCAAAGGAAGTCAAAAGTCAAAACAGTGGCAAGCATTGAAAAGAAGAGAGGGGGAAAAGAAGTAGAAAAGCAGGAAAAAAGTCAAAGCAGTGAAAAACAGGAAAAAAGAAAATACCTGAAAAGCAGGAAAAAAGTCAAAGCAGTGAAAAACAGGAAAAAGAAAGGGGGAGGGGAGGGGGGAGACCTGTAAAGTAGCGAAAGTAAGTCAAAACAGTGGCAAGCATTGAAAAGAAGAGAGGGGGAAAAGAAGTAAAAGCAAGAAAAGCAGGGAAAGGTCGAGAAGCAATAACTAGGGAGAAGAGGAGGGGAAAAAGAAAGAAAAGGCCTGAAAATCAGTGAAAAAGAAGTCAAAGCAATGGCAATCAGGGGCAGTGGGGAAGGAAGGGAAAAGTATGTAAAAGAGAAGAAGGGAAAAGCAAGGAAGAGACCTGAAAAGCAGAGAAAAGTCTGTAAGTACTGAAAAGCAGGGAGGGAGTGGGAATAAAAGCATGAAAAGGAAGGAAAAGATGAGGATAGAAAAGCAAGGAGAAGACAAGGAGGGAAAAGCAGAGGAAAAAAGTCAAGCTAATGAAAAGCAGGGAAAATGAGGGAAAGTATGTGAAAAGCAGGGGAAAGGAGGTCAAAGCAGTTAAAAAAAAAAAGCAGGGAAAAGCAGCGAAAAAAGTATCAAAACATTGAAGAGAAAGGAAAAGGGGGGGAGCGGGAAGATGAAAATCCCCAAAAAGCAGGGAGAAGACAAGGAGGGAAAGGCAGGGGAAAGGTAAGAAGGGAGAAGTGGGGAAAAGATGAGAAGAGAGAAGCAGGTAAAAGACAAAGCAGTGCAAAGCAAGGAAAAGAAGAGACCTGAAAAGCAGGGGAAAGGCCAGAGAAGACCACAAAAGCGGTGAAAACAAGTCAAAAGAGGGAAAAGATGGGAGAGGATGTCAAAGCAGGAATAAGAAGGGAAAACAAGAGAAGAGGGGGGGGGGGGGGGGAAGAGAGACATGCAAAGCAGTGAAAAGAAGTCAGAGCAGTGAAAAAGCAATGAAAATAATGTAAGGGGGACGGGGGGTGTGTGTGCAGAAACAAATAGGGAAAAGAACTCCAAGCAGTCAAAAGCAGGGACAGAGAAGTGGAGGGGAAATGAAGCGACCCAAAAAGCATGGAAGAGATGGGAAAAGAATGGGAAAGAAGAGAGGTCAAAGCAGGGAAAAGCAGGGAGGGGATGGGAAAATGAGCGAGGGGAAGAAGAAATACACCTGAAAAGCATTTGAAACAAAGTGGAGAAGGAAGGGGAAACCTGAAAAGCACTGAAATGAGGAAAGGAAGAAAAGAAAACACCCGAAAAGCATTGAAAAGAATGGGAAAAAAGAAGAGGAAGACACAGAAAGCATTGAAAAGAAGGGGTGAAAGACCTGGAAAGCATTAGAAAGAAGAGAAAAGCAGTGAAAGTCAGTGAAGGAAAAGCAAAGGGGGGAAAGCAATGCAAAGCAACAGTGGAAAAGGAAGTGGGAAAGACAGGCAGGAAAAAACAAGCAGGAGAGATAGGAAGTGAAAAGACGTCAACATAGCGAAGAGCAATGAAAAGAAGGGGCTGGCGGGAGAAACAACCTGAAAAACTGGAAAAAAGAATGGAAAAGAACAGAAGCCAAAGCAAGGTGGAAAAGTCAAAGCAGGGAAGAGAACGGAAAGCACCAAAAAGAAGGGGGGAACCTGAAAGACTTGGGAGGTCTGGGAAGCCAAAAGACCAACGAGCAGGGAGAGGAAGGGAAAAGCAGGGGAAGGGGGTGAAAAGTATTGAAAAGAAGGGGGCGGGGGGAGCAAGGCAAAGTGGGAAAGTATGGCAGGGAGAACAGGCAGGAAACCAAAAGCAGGGAAGAGAAGCACGGACGAGACAGGAAAAGCTGTGAAAAGACAGGAAGAGAACGAGCAGGAAAAGGAAAAAAATACAGTGAAAAGAAAAAGCAGGAAGACTGGACAAGCAACAGGGGAAAGCAGGGAAAAGCAGTGGGAACAGCAGGGGAAAGACAGAAACAGAAAAAGCAGGGAAACAAAAGAAAAGCAGGGAAAAAATAAAAGGCTGAAGAAAGATGGGAAAAGGAGTTGAAAAGTATAGCAACGTGGATGATAAGGTCAGAGTGGAAAGTAGGGAAGGGGATGGGAGTGAGAAGCAGTGAGAGAGGACAGGAACTTCTGGGGGGAGAAAAGGCCGTGCAATGTTATGGTTTCTGAAGAGGGAAATGAGCTACAGTTTCTACTGAAAAGAAAATGAAAAGGGTATTAAAATTATTTTAGCCAAAGCTACTATGTTTGACTTTTTCTTCAGACAAAAAGCTCTCATTGTCCCCATGAAAGAACTCTGAATATGGTATTTCTGATTTTCAAAGCTCTGGCTCCAGAGATTCCTGGATTTGTCTTCCCAGGTCGCTGAGGTTATGTCAGGACACGAACCTTCGTACTGTCACTATATCAAAGTGACCTCTACGGACACACCTGGTTTCAAGGCAGTGCCACTGTAATGTTTCTGCTGGTAGCGCGTTTTGTTTACAGAGCAAATGCCCCTTCACAAACACATAGAACAGTATGAGCTCCGTGTACTGAAGTTACCAGGCTGATGTGAGATAGCACACAGAGTACAACAATGAAGTGGGCTATTCCAGTGTAGAATAAACTTATGTACAGCATTTTTCTTCGGAGAAATGCTAGCTTAGCTAGTGTACAAACAAGTGATAAAATTTCCTCATACACAAGGCAGATGTTTTATACGGGCAGGAGACCAATTCAGATGAAAACAAAAATGCACGAGTGCTCTGGCACATTGCAGCAAAGAGGAGGAATCCCGCTGGTACCAAACTGCGCTAGCCCTGCATTGGGAAAGAAGACAAGTGAGACTGAAGCTTTGAAAACTAAATTCCCTCAGCTTATTCTTGACCCCAAGGTCTCTGAATGGAGTCTCCTTTGAGTGCAAATGATGAAAGGGTTTGCTGCCCTGAAAATGCAGAACAGCTCAGAATGTGCTCCATTCAGGGCCAGCCTTCCTGCCTGCTTTAGGTAAAGAGAACTCCTCTTCATCACCATCGTTGCAGTCTCAAAACGATTAACTCCATCTTACCAACTGTTGACATTTTATGCTGGGAAGGAGTTGTGAAGGGAGTCCTGAATGAGCTACAAGTTGGCAGGAACATCTGAAGGAAGAGAGAGGCTTTGGAACCCGGCAGCAAGTGGTACGCGAGAGACCTCTTCAGCTGGTGGGGGGGGAGAGAGATCCTGAAGAAGGCAGTCTGGGTGGAGAGGTTTTCTGCTTGACATCGTCAGTTAGTTTCTTCAGAACAAACAAGCTCAACTTTTTTTTTTTTCATGTATCATTTTCCAATCGCTAACCAACTAATTGTCTTTCGACAGCCAACATCTGTCACATTAATCTCCTTTCCTCCCACTTCTCATGGGGAGACCTACAGGAGGTGGATTTGGTTATTAATTTCTGTTGGCTTATCTATGCTACTGTTCTTTTTATTACTCAAAACCATATGGAATACCCGTAAGATCTGAAGTTTCAAGAAATTCTTAAAGTCTCAGCAGGACTCATCTCGCCGATGATCCCACAAAACTGGATTTGAGAAGCAATGTTTTTAACCCTTTCCTCAGCTTGTAGTTATTTTTTGAGGGACCAATCTGTGGATTGCCTTGAAAATTAAGTCAAATTTCTTCATATACACACGGCAGAAAGCCAGCACGGCAGTAGGAAAGCCAGAGTTCTTTTTGAAAAACCCAAAAGAAAGCTACCAAGCCAGGTCTTCAAAATTATAAGCTACTGCCATACCATTGCTTTAAGCAGTGAGAACTGGCTGACACTGTGCAGAAAAAATAAATAGAAAAATGCAATGCAAACATGTTAAGACAACAAGCGTGTCCTACAGTCAAACATACCAACTTTCAACACCCTTTAACAAATAAATGCTTTGAATTAAAATGTTGGTATCGGTACAAATCGTAAACAGCAATGCATACATGATTAAAAAAAAATTCAGCAATCCTTTAGACTCAAATTGTTTTTTCTAGAAGGAATAAAACTGCTCATCTATTGCTGCACTGGCAAAACAATGTTTTCCCAGAAAGTTTTCATGATAGACTCTACCAGGAGGCTGTAACAACGAAGAATCCAAATGGCTAATGTATTCAAGAGAACATTGCATATATTATAAAAGCATTCGTATTGGAGACCAACATGTTTCTAGGAGACGCTGCAACACTGCCTTACAGTACGCAACAATTCCATGAGATTTGTCCATTTGCATGCAAAACAATGATGGAAGAAAAACCTCAAAACATTTTTGTACTTTCTTTGTTAACTGAACAGCTTTAAACTAAATTTGACATGCAAGAAGCAGTGTTCTAGAAAATATAATGCCCTTATAACCAAAACCTATGCCAAGACATCATGACAATTGTATTCCAGGACGCTGGAGTCTGCAGCAGTGGGAAGCAGAAATTCCTGTTGAAGCTGTTCCTGCGGAGTACTTGGAGACCAAGAGCTGGACCGCACGACTTACCAGAGATGAGAAATGCCTCTTGCGAAGACGTACAGGAAAGAGAAATAGAAGAAAATTCCAGTGTACTACACAAGAAGTTTAACTGCATTGCCTTGTTTACCTAAAGCCACATTACATTCCGTTGCCCAAAAAGCATGATCTACGTGCGGGTTTCTCAGTACTGGCTCTACTGAAATTCAGACCAACCTGCCCCAGCCCAGGATGCATCTGCTCTTTAGGATTATTAGAATTTGGTTTCGAAAGCCAAATCTGGTCTATACACTCCTCCTGAAAGGATTTACGACATTTTTACAATAATGGTAGTTCTGTCTTACCAATAAGGATGTTATTAGCCTTAATTTTCAAAAAATAGCTGATGCTTTTTCTTATTTAGACTGAAAATACTGGGGCTGTTTTCCTTACATGCTGGTTTTCTATTTGAGGTTTGCAGCTTTTCACTATGACACTGTTTATCATTATTTAGCTGGGATACTTTTCACTGTTGCTCACTGAGGAAAAAGTGCTTGTGAAACAGAGGAGGTCCTGCCTTAGGAATGAGGACCTAAGGAGGATCCACATCTTTTAGGCTATATAGACCCTGTGCCCTTTCTACTCCATGGCAACAATTTTTTTTAAGGGTGTCTTTGGTCAGCCTCACTTCCATTCTCATCCTACTGAACACAAGTTTTAATAGATAATCACCTCACACAAAAACATACGCTACTTGGGGTTTTGGGTTTTTTATTCCTAGAGTTCTAAAACTCCATTTGTAACCTGCTGTGGTTTGCCTCTTTGAAGGTCTCACTAGGCTCTGCTTTCAGCCCGTTTTAACCGATGCATCTCAGCCCTAGTTAGTAAATAAATTAAAGTCCCTTCAGTTGCCTACATGCTGACAATCCACTCTATCTATTACTGCTGCTTCTGCCAGTCTGATCTCTCCAGCATACCCTCGTTTGGTCTGCTGTCAGAAATCGAATCCTCCCTTCTTCAATTTAGCCTAGGTTAAAATGTAGATCTTAAAATCTAAAATCTAGATTTGATCTAGAAAATCGTCTTAAAATCTAGGATGAATTTATTGCAATTTAGAAAGTAAATTGCAATAAAATCATCCCAACTTTCATTTCTGCTCTCTTGCAAACTTCCAAATTTGATCCAAGTCTTGCCACTTGATAAACAGTCTGGGTTCAAATCCACCTTGAAACAAAACACACAGCTACATTCTAGACATCTCCCACGTTGATTACTGGAATCCAACCTTCTGTGAAAAACTTATTTTCCACTCAAAATAGATCTGTTAAGCCTCATTCAACATGGCCGTGAAGTTCTTCATTTAGCTTCCCTCACATGCTTTCCTAGGACCAAGACCACATAAAAAAATTTCTCAGTCTCACTTTCAATTAAGGTCTGCACAATTCCACTCCAGCGAAGGGTATTTCTCTCCCCTCCCTATGCTATTATTCACATTGGTTAGACTCCCTCCCACACAGAACATCCTTTCAATTCCAACCCTTACCCTCTTCTAAATCTTCTATCCTCACCTTCCCTCTAGAATCTATGAACATTGCTTAAAGCGAATTAAATTTTCTCTCTGCCATTCAGCAGAGGAGCCCGAGGTTTAAAATTTTAACTACCACCTTTGTCTGGCTTATGACGTGTATCACATTCTCGTATCGTTCAGGTCCTCAAGGATAGTCACAGTGACCGTCTTGTGATTGAACTCTGTGATGCTCTGTAACATCTAGCATAAAACATAATAAACAACAGAAACTGCAAATCCTCTCGGGTCTAGGCAGATCATATATATTTGATAGGGCTAGTATGGATAACTGTTGAAATAAAAACAAGGCATCTTAATCAGTAAGGAAAAAATAGTTCAACTATCATTATGAGGTGGAGAAATAAATACCAACTGCAAACTTTTCAACATGAGGTTGCTTCTGTAGAACCCCACAAAACCAGGCATATATAACAGGAAACTACAATTTGGCAAGGTGACTTCCTTTGCTTGACAGATGCAAGATATTGTGCAGTTCTAATATCCATCCTTCTAAGTAAAATACACCACTTGCCAAAATCATGCTGGATCACATACGAAGTATCCTCATGAGATCAACACCCAGCAGTAACTCTACTTTGTAGTCAGTTACTTGTGTAATTTTGTCTAGAAAGATACTTCCATACTATTCAGAAGTTCCATATAACGATCTTATTGAAATGTATTTGTTTTTTAAATCAACACAACATATTCACCACTCTGTGTCAGAAGGTTAGTTTTAGATTACTTCCTCATTAAAAAAGGATGCTTCTGATGGGTTTCAATAGGAATTATCTTCAAAGGTATTTAAGATTTTTTTCAGTTATCAAGAATAAAATACAAGCACATTGATGGTTTAATGAAAATAACGATGGTAGAGTGATAAACAATGAAGACAAGTCACATCTATAGGTGAATCCAACCCTTCTGTAAACCAGTCCGATTCAGACATCATTATACTTACAGGATGGAAGACTACATCCTGGAAGAGCAGCAGTTCTGAAAAGGACTTAGGAATCATGATGGATAATCATCTAAATTTACAATCTTTTAATGCAAATAACTGAGACTGAAAGATTTAAAAATGCGATCCTTGGAGGTATAAACAAACAAGCGAAGATATAAACTGAAAGGTTCAAGAATGTACCTGCACATACTAGACGCACACAGCAATACTGAAATTACTACCAGATGCTGTATGCAGTTCTTACGACCACGCTTTAGAATGGATTTTAAAACATCTGAAGTTTCAGAAGAGCCGTAAAAGCTTTACAGTTAGAGATTTAAGGAACTCCATCTATATAGGTTATTAAAGTTAACATATTCTTATGTGAATAAAGTGAAATAGTTTAAAACTAGAGTAGCTATTTATTATTCTAATAGGCAGCTAGCTATCTGATGGCCAGCAGCTGTAACTAAACAGTCCAAAAACTGAAGGAGGACTAAGAGTATGGAAAACAAACTAGCTGAATCACTCAAGAGACACGGAAAAATCTTCACACTTGAAGAATCTATATGAAAATCAGCTATCTTTTTCAAAAGTATGTTCTACTGCACCCAAAAGATACGGACTTCATGATGCAGAAATAACTAGATTGAATTCTAGGGATAATGGCATGCCAGTCAGATTATTTCATTACCATGGTCACTTCTGGCCTTAAAATGAGCTAGTCTGTAATAGGTAGAAAGCTGCAGTGCATATAAGAACATTCAAACTAACAGATGATAATATAAAGAACTCAAACTACAAGTACAGTCCATCAGAATCAAGCAGAGCTGTGTTCATACATCAATGATTTGTATACCTTGCTGTTTCAATTAAAAACTCAAAATTATCTGTTATGCCTCCAACTTTTACTTTCATATTTTTAAGTCTGTTGCAATGTATCTGATATTTACATATTATAGTATAATTATACCTACCATACCATGGCTTGGAGTAGGTTAATTGCATAGGAAGATTTACTAGGTTTACATTTTTTTCTTAAATTACTCTTTTTTTAAAAAGCACAGTAAAGAGTCTGAGGACAAATTATTCAACTGTTTATCATACATAAGACTGCATGACTATAATACAAAGGGCTTGTCTTTTCATTTAACGTTACAATATACACAGCAAGTCCGGACTAGATCTTACAATCTGAACACAGGTATTTAACCTTTTCCATGCTGTTTATGTTTACAATGCACAGAAGTCCTGTAACCAAACTGTGTAGTAAAGCACACAAAACTGGACTGTAACATAACACAGTATGCAGAAGCACTGGATTTTATGATTTCTTCTTTATGTAGATACTTTTAACTGCTTTATTTTTTGGCGCTTGCTAAGGTGTGGCAACCCGCGCACACAAAAAATACCCAGATTTCATATTACCCTTATATTCCTAGACAGCAGTAAGTACTGGATTCCTTTTTATATTGCTAAACTCAGCATCCTGTTTCTAAGGTGACAGCCTTCCAAATCCTGTAAACTTCTCTGAATTACTGAGTTTAAAAAAAAAAAAAAAAAAAAAAAAAAAAAAAAAAAAAAAAAAAAAAAAAAAAAAAAAAAAAAAAAAAAAAAAAAAAAAAAAAAAAAAAAAAAAAAAAAAAAAAAAAAAAAAAAAAAAAAAAAAAAAAAAAAAAAAAAAAAAAAAAAAAAAAAAAAAAAAAAAAAAAAAAAAAATTCATGATTTACAAAAAAAAGGTAATCCCAAGTATTCATTCCCATTTACATGGTAGTCAGCTGCTGCGTTGCCACTGTAAGTGTAAAAAATTCCACCTTTTAGTCTGAAAAAATGACTTAGCCGCATGGAATTGACCAGTATGAACTCTGAATTTTCTGCTAAATTAACTTTTAAAAGGGCTTACTGGCAGAGGTAGATCACTGCTTCTGTAATATATAATGGGCAAACAATGTTAATCTGGGATGGGCAATCAATGAATTACCCTTATTCTTTCAAATGTTTTTCATGGAGCTTTTACTTTTCATATAACTAACTCTCTGAAGGGGCCCATAAATTTTGCAACTGCCAAGCTGACTGTGTTATATTAAGGCAGCATTACCCAAAAATTAGGCACCTGTTAAATACAGCCTGCTAACCTCAGGTCTCATGTGAGTGTTTTGCTTTACTCAGACTATTATTTTGGACCTGTTCATGCAATCAAGGTCTTGCCTTCAAGTTTACAATTATGTTAATAAGGAATACAAGAATCAACTGCTGGTTTCATAGCTTCTGGATCTAGTGTCCCTTTTACCTTCAGAAGCCTGAACACATTTATAATGTAACAGATGTTATAGTCTCGAAGTAGATGTCAATCTATTATGTTCAGTACACAGATTGCTGTAAATGTATTGGCTATGAATTCAACAACAGTTCCAGTTTTGTTTAAGCAATAGTACAGCCATAATTTTCAACTGACATTTAAAAATGGTCTAGTTACACCTTGTGTCAAAGTGCAGAACTGCTACATTATTGGTTACAGACATCTATGTGCTATAAAAACAGCTTTGGTACAATAAATTATCAAAAAAGAAAATAAATTTTTGTAAAATTCACAGCATAATTGTGAGGCAAAAAAGCAGTCACATAAAATTCTGCATTTTTAAAAATGTTCAGGATGAACAGAAGACGTCTTTGTGCAGAAGTAATGGTGGAGAAACCACGTGCCGAGAAAAAGCTAAAGAAAAAAGTAAAAAGCAGGAAGGGACACAGTTGTAGCTATTTCCATCAAACGCAAACCACTACTCCTGTGACCTTCAACCAATAAGGAAGTCAACTTTATGACACACGCAAAGTGACCTTGCAATACCTTACAATAAGTGGGTCACAAAAGTCTATTTTAAAAGAAAGGCCTCTTGAATTACCCATTCTCTGTGTTTTCAGCATTAAGGACTGTCTGCAAAAGCATGTCCAAAAGTGATTGCATCTGAAATGGTAGGCTCTTCTAACTTAAGAGTCCAAATCCATAAGGCCAAAGGTTATCCCAAAGACCACCACTCAGACCTCCCCAGGACTGGCCAGGACCGACCCGTTGATTGCTTCTCAGTGCACCTCAGTTATGAAACCAGTCATATTTCAATACTAACTGACTGTGGTCTCCAAAATATGAGCCCCACAGAATCCCATTACAATTGCTGCTTTGATCCTCAGTAGATTCAGAAAAGGAGAGTTCTGATAAACCGCCACTTAGCATGCTTAATGTGCCTTACAAACTCCATTACAACCGTCCCTTTTTACAGCTGAAGAATATATATTTGTGTAATCTGAAGGTCCCTCTTTCTTACAGTACTGCATTTCTGTGCCCATGTTTGTTTGGGGAACTAAAAAAAAAATATATATATATTACTCACTCCCCTCCCACCCAAAAACTTCAAAGGGCCTTTTTATAAATCATGTGCAATGCCTTTAAAAAGAAACTAGTTTGCAACTACAACTAACATTTGATCAGTAACCCCTGTTGAATGAGACAAAAAAAAAAAAAAACCCTCCCCAAAAAAACCAAACTATGACTAGGTTGTGGCAAGTTAAAATGGGGGAAGCAAAAGGTGAACACCACTAAGCTATCCATTAAGGTGGGTCCAGACACGGCTCTTAAAAAAAAAAAAAAAAAACAAAAAACACCAACCAAAAAAAAAAACCAACAAAAAAAACTTCATTGTCCCTTTGCAATCTTTTCAAGTTTAAAAAAATAGTCAGCTTTGCCCTCCTGTAGCGGTTCAGTGAGTTTATCTCCTTCTGATTCAAGCAGCTTTGCACTTTGTTTTTGGAAAAACACCACTTCTATAAAAACACACAAGAAACAAACTTAGTTTCAGTTTAGTCACGAGCTAGCCACAGGACTTTGCTGAACACAAACTCCTGTCATGGGAGACTCTTCTCTATCAATCCCTTGCCTCATTGCAAGGTGTCCTTCAGTCATGTAATGAGCAGGACCTGTATTAGCAGAAAACTGGTACGTTGGATGTCCAGCTATGCCAGTTTCTTGGCGCGGATTAGAGTAGACTGTTAAATTCATGTCCATAGCTCCATTTTGTCCAAAGTCCAAGGTATTAGCAGCCACTGGGCGGTTCTGATAGGCCTGATTGCCTTGGTTACCAGTAGAAGAGGAAGATGTAGAGGAAGAAGTAGTTGAGGAAGACAGGGATGTCATGGAGTGGTGACTGTGGCCCACCTCCATAGAATCCTGGGTGGAGGAGCTGTTTGTTGGAGAATTGTAGACCCTCGGCCTGGTCCGGCTACCCAAGGCTTGCTGTCCATGATGGTGGTGGTGGTGGTGGTGATGGTGGTGGTGGTGAGAGCTGTTTCCGTGATGATGATGTAATGCATTCTGTTGTTGAGGGGTTACATGGAAGGTGGTTTCTTGAACTGGATGGTTTTCAACAGTGACCTGTGTAGGAGCTTCAGTGGCTGTCCAACCAATTGGAGGAGGAAACTGTTGTCGAACCTATGTTAATAAGCAAAATAAAAATTAAAATGCTTAATCAAATCTGCCCATTTGCAATATAAGAGAGACATTAAGTTATTAAGGTCTACGCTAACTTTTAAAAAAGTTAACCAAACCTTGCAGTTGCAAAATTATTCTAGAAATGTAAGCATGTAGTTAAGAAGCATTTCTAATACACTTTTCTAAATATACCTTAAGAAAAATAAGTTCACATTCTGGATGCTTTTTTCAAACAGCTTAAGTAAGTCCAGTATGTGACCTTACTGTCAAAATTATAGAAGCAGCTTTACATAATAGTAGTAATAAACAACACAGTATTTGTACAACACCTAGAACAATAAGGACCTGATCTCTGACTCAGGCCTCTGGATACAATTAGCATACTAAGCTAAATTATCATGTTGTAGTTCCTATCTTGAACAATGTCAACAGCGTTAGAGGAGTACTACCCACTCCTCTGGAAGAACACAGCTGATTAAAGATTATTAAAATAGCAAGATCTAGCTAAACACCGATTTGTTGCATAAACTAAGTTGTCTACTTGGGAGAAAAAGTTTGTCTTCTGTCTGCTGCAAAGAAGCACGTATGATCTTTTCTTTTCTTGTGAGTGTAATGCTTGGAGGCTATTGCTTTACACCTGTAAAAGTGATTCTGTATCTGTAAAAGCGATGAACAGAAATAAGAAATCACTATCACATTTCAGTTTTACTCTTCCAGGAATAAAACAAGCTAACATACACTAATTTATATTTTTACCTGTTCTGTACTAAAATAAAAGTATTACTGAATTATAATAATCTTGGAGGCTATTGCTTTACACCTGTAAAAGTGATTCTGTATCTGTAAAAGCGATGAACAGAAATAAGAAATCACTATCACATTTCAGTTTTACTCTTCCAGGAATAACACAAGCTAACATACACTAATTTATATTTTTACCTGTTCTGTACTAAAATAAAAGTATTACTGAATTATAATAATAAGGCTTTAAACTCTTCAGAAGGGACAGGCGAGGAAGGAGAGGCGGTGGTGTGGCCCTGTATGTTAGGGAGTGTTTCGATTGTCTAGAGCTCAACGATTGTGATGATAGTCGAGTGTAGTGTTTATGGGTAAGGATGAGGGGGAAGGCCAACGAGGCAGATATCCTGCTGGGAGTCTGTTAT